TGGAAAGCCACGAGCAACTTATTGTCTCACAGCTATATTTAAACACTGATGCGCTTGGCACTTTGGTCAACGTATCAACAACATCGGTTTTGACCTCGGCTCTTGCAGAAGTAACTCCAAAGCAGCCCAAACTTTCTATCAATCGATACCTGATTGAAGCACGCCTGGAAAATCTGCGATTTGCGTATGTTTAAAGAAGGTGGTAGCGGAACACTTATCACAATAAATAGATAGTTTCCAATTACCTCCGCCATTATATTTGAGTGTGATCAATAGAAAGACAACATTTTCAGCGGCTTCGGAGAGTAAAATACAATCAGCTTCTCAAATCAGTAAACCCACTGAAGGCCGCGTTTTAAAGCTTGAAGTAAGTGGTTTTTGATTATTAAAGAACACATGACCACAACTTTATTTTTATTGATCAAAGTCTCTATCCGACACAGTCTGAACATTGATCAAACGCAACTGGGCAGGAAGCGTTGTACTGAACAGTCAATGGATTAGAGTTCAAGTTACTTATCCCACTTTAGCAGAACCAACATGGATCTTTTATTGTTCTCTAAGACATCAAGTGAGTATCCGATGAACAACAGCTGTATTAAATAGTAAAATGTGTCCCACAAAAAGCAAAGATCCAACAATTGACCGATAGAATGATGACATTCAGGAGCAACCTCAGTGAAATCTGTTTGAAATAGTACCTTGCATTGGTTAGTCATCACTGAGAAACCTGCAAAAGACACTTATTTACTATGAATTGATGGACAGCAACTCCGTTGGCAAGTGTTCATCCATCTCAAAACACCGTGATTTCTTTGAGCATCATCCACCACAGGCGCACGAGCTAAACAACTTGATGATGTTTTTTTTTTAGCAATGAGATGTGATCTTTTTTCCGTCTTGATGATTGCATGGGATGATCCCTCAATAATATGATCATCATGAGATGATCCTCGGATGCGGTTGTGTATGTGCTTTCAAGAATAAATCAATCAACCATCGGCAGCACGTTTTAAGATCCTAAATGTTGAGACAGCATTTGGTGTTAGATTCTACTATTGAAGAAAAAATCGATTCAGCCAATAAATTCATTGGTGCAGATTGCAAACATTCAAGGGATGTTCAGCATTTGCAGGCGGAGCATGTTCATTCATGAATATCTCGGCGTCAATTTCACCTGAATCAGATGCGGCTAGCACGCCCATTTCTTGATAATTGAGTGGCACGATTGTCGCATCTGCAGAAAGCCTTCCTGCACCCTAACACTCAATTACTCGACCAAATTCTATAGTTTATTTTGTTGGTTTATCATGAGGTGAACCATGTGTAACTGGTTTGGTTTAGGAACATGGCAGAATCGGTTGACATCATTCGCAGCTTGAATTGACCGGTGAAGGAGAAATCTTGGCTTGGAATAACAACCTGCATTCAAATATTGCTTCTAGGCATAGACTAAAAATCAATTAAATGCCCAATGTTGCTGGATGGGTCCGCATGATTTTGCTTACCCGTAGCAACTGCAACAAAGGGAGCACCCCAATATCTGAGAAAAATCTTCTGTTTAATGGTATCTCATCAACCATTTGTAATCCAGTTTAATTGGATGTGAATGGCGACAGGACTCTTTTGGCGATCTGCTTTGTTTCCAGGAAGTTCTTCCTGATTGGATACACCATCGAAGTTCCTTTTGAAAACGTGATCATTATCATTGGTGGGCGCAACAGGATCTGTGGAATGCAATTCATTGCCATCGAGAACAATATTCATTTACTATCTGAATTGATGCCAATATATTCATCATCTTCATTAGTGTTACAAGTTGATATATCAACTGATGCACTTGTGGTTGAGTGATTGTTGTCATTGGAAGCTCCTGACGTATTGCCCCCCCTAGCACCAGCGGCAATAGGTGTAACTCTGCCAGTCGGTGCATTTAATAGTCTAGTAGCAGCAAATGATGAGTCATTGAACAGAATGCTCGTTTCACCAAAAAAACAGGAAAGGCTGAAAACGACATGTCTGTCATGAGCATTTACTCTCTGCGGGATTCTCTAGTCCTACCCATCTATCCAAAACACGGAGGGCACTTGTATTGCCTCATTTAGCTTGTTTATTTGTTGAGGATCATTGATTCAGCACTTGCTGCAAAGTCTTTCAACATAGCAGCGGTTGATATTGCTCAGTGGAATAATTCTAATCCGGAATTCAACCGCGGACCTTCGTTAGTGGGAATCAAACTCATCAAAAGCAGAGCAGACTTCACAACATCATTCTGCCAGTATCGAACAACCTTCGCATCATTTATCGTTGTGCTGGCTCTGGCCATGCTGTTTGGCCCAACGCTGAGCGACCGCATTTGGAGAAAGCTCATTTCGAGAAGAAATTGCATGCTTGATTTCTTGAGAATCACACGATCGTTGAAAAAGCATAGGACAAAACCAGTAATCAGAACAGACAATATGAACGGCGTTCATCCAAAACATTTGAGGAAACGTAACAGATAGCTGCAACCAGCAACAGCGAATGATGTTGAATCAATGGGAGCCTCGACAACAGATCTGGTGTCATCAACAACACCCGTGAAACAACAACAATTCCCATTAAATAGAACAACTCTCATTGGCTCAACAATATCATCACTCAGTATACCAAAAGCACTAAAGACGTGTCTGCAAGAAAAGTTATAATTAACTTTCGCTGGTTTTGTTTTTGGAATGAATCTCATTTTAATCTTCTAGCACGGACATTCAATCAAGACTGGCCAAATTTGATCCAACAGTCTCAACTCAAAAAGCTGAACAATGATGCCAACCTGTAACAATTAACTCAACTTCAGTCAGGGCAAAAATTCATTTTTACAATCTTCATGCGAAGTTGCCGATATCTAGTGCGCCATTCAAATCAACATAATCATCTCTATATAAAACCCCAGCCCCTTAATATTTAGGAGCTTAGATTAATATTGACTGGGCTCCATCGGGTGCATGGTGATATTATTTCATCATCAACTAATAAAAATGGGCCTTACTTCACTTTTGACATGATCAATGGTTCCACCAATACGGAGAATCGGTCCCCAATGAGCAGTTGAGTTTCTGTTCTGATCAAAGATAGCAGAAGCTGAAGCGGAAATGGCGCAATCGTAATTCATCCACTTGGACGTGATCAAGACCAGGCTAATTACTTTCAACAACCAAGCAAACCGCGAATGATTAATTTTCTGTCATCCCGACCAGGCACAGCAGCCAAACCATTTGCTAGTCCTTCTGATCCAGCAAACTCTGCACGATGAAGGAACCACAGGGAGCAAAATTGTCTTTGTGTGACTTCCAATCCACGTAATTTGTTTAATTATTGGATTTATGCATCGCTTTCTTTTAAGCTTGTCCAACGCGTTCAGCCTGAGCTACCAGGAAAAGCATCATCTCCAAAATGATTGGCCAAAGCCATCACATCAGCAATTGAATTCCTTGGTGAGTTTGTAAGCTGAGTAAGATCTGTATTTGCAACGCTGGGGGCGAAACATTAGGGGTAGAAGAAAAGAGCCACATTAGTCAGCATTATAAACTTTTTGATTATTGCGCTTATTTTGATTATAGAATTAACTGAAATCATTCTTATTAGAAAATGTACTTTGCTTTTTGCAAGAGGTAAATAACGTAATCTTAATGTCAGCGGCTTCTACCGTGTTGGCACCCAAATGCATTTCAACGTTCACTAATACTTGACGGTCTCACTCCCCATGGTAATGTTCCGTTTCCAGTAGGGCAAACACTAAGCTACCGATGACTAAGCTATGTGAATTAGAATCAAGTGACATCTTGATTTGCGAAGATCAACGTCATCAGGATGAATAACAATCTTTTGATAGGGTTAGATCCAACAGACCAAACAGAGCAGCTTTGAAAATCGGAAGCGCAGCCCAAATAGTAAAGATATCGACATTCATCTGTTTGTCCGACTGTTGCCCCTGATCAGCCATATCTTGGGTCATATCCTGTTGTATCAAATTCACAGCAGTTTATTCACGTTAAGAAATAGATAACAAGAAAACCCAATCAAGAGGTTGCCAGCCCCTTTTGTTACAAGCTGGAAGAGACGACAGGGCGTGGCGGGAGCAAACCAGTGACAAAGAGCAAAGCACAGAATGTGGATATCGCGGTGGCCCACATAAGTTACCACTTTCATTAGGTACCTATTTCTTTTCAGCGATATTCAATTGTCACATCGAATCCAAATTTACATTTAAAAGAATAAATTTATTACCCTTTAATTCAATAACGGTTGAAACACATTTGACATTCCTTTCAATATGCGGTGTTGCAGTAACTACAACTGTTTCAACCTTGATTTTCCAGCATTTAACCAAAGGCAATTTTTATTGGAACCTGAACTATTAATTCCATCGCGCTTCAATTATTTTTACTTAAAATTATGCAGATTTTACGTTTACAGTTTAATTATTTCTCACCAAATTGCATTATCTTCTAGACTTGACCCTTACATATTTGCAGTTTAAATCCATAAATCGCTTCATTTAAACATTATGTAATTTCATTTAGAGTTATACCATTTTCATTTTTTCTAATGTCTTAAAATCATATGTTTTCCACTTCAACTCAGTTTTATTCTATTTTCTATACCGTTCAATAAAGATTATAAAGCTCACATATTCCATATATCACGCTTTACGTTATAGTGACATCCTTTTTGGCAACCTCAATCGTAATTTGTAATATGCCAAGCACACCTTCTTCTGTGTTGTTCGAAACCGCTTTTATAATTATCAAAGAAGAAATAGTTTAATATATTATGAGAAACAGGATAAGAATCAATTATATAGTAATCTATATTAATCCATTATTAACTAGAATAAGTACCACGATATTATTTGCAATTTTAACTGATCAACAATAGATGAAATTTCGCAATTCACCAGTATGGCTATAATCTCTTTGGGGAATTTGTTCTGTCAAATCAACCAATGAAGATTTAAATGTTTGCCAGTGGTGCTGAATGCCGTTTTTCCAGACTTGCATTATTGAGAGAGTTACAAATTGCGTTGATTGCTATAATTTTACTTCAAAGACGTATATTCTCTCCACCGATGTCAATCGAAAACTAGGTAGATTTGCTCGTTCTTTTGAAGCATTGATCACGGTCAGATTTCGATCGGAAATAATTGAAAATGTCCTTGCAGAAATTCCATCGAGATGTTAAATGGGATTAGTGAATGTTTTCTGCGTGCAGGATCTTTTCAGAAACTTCATCTTTGTTGAAATCTATTGAATCCATCAATTGTTGAATTAGATAACAAAGAGTTTCAATAGCTGATTGACATGCTTTGAGTTCATTCTCCAGAATAAGATTGATTCATTATAGCTGTTCTTCTCTTTAGTTAAAACTTAACCATCTTGCAAAGCATCTTAGATTCTAGGAAATGACTGGCAACTTATTTGCCGATGGTCACTGAATGTCATCTTCATCAATTAATGACAGTTTCTGAGACATTATTCAATTGAGACAAGAGCGACTGTTATGAAATTCGTCGGAATCAACTATTCTATGAAATTTCCTTCAGGAATGAATTATTGCCGTAGCTGAAACAAAGAAGGTTAACGGAAGTAGGTTTGAGAATAGAGCAAAAATTGTAGACAACAATAAAAACTTCAATCCTCTCATAGACTCCATCAATTGAGCGTCCAGATGAAATTAAACATGATGTTAAAACCAAATGAAAGTATCGATCAGTAAAAGTTAATTTATTTTATCATCATTAATTTATTCAATATGTAGTTGATTCAGTTTGAGCAACTCAAGGATTATTGACTATTGAGTTAATAGCACATTTAGTGAATGCAAACGTATTAAAGAAAGCTGCCATTCGATATGATAATTGTAGAACAGTCGAGAATAATAATGTTGGTTGCTCTAATTTATAAGGTGCTAAGTTTACTCTAAGCAGAACCGCAAAACATCTTAGTGATGTGAAATTGGCTGAAAGACGTTAGATTCGAGGAACTGCGAAAAACAATGTACCAAATGATAATGACGATCTGACTCTTTTTAACAGATTAAGGTCTCTAATTTGTGGATCTAACTACAAAGAAAGTACAATATCTTTCTGCTCCAATCTCTGAATGTCATTTGAAACGGACTCACAACAACCAACAATTGTCCGCTGAATCAACTGAGTACTATAAGCGTGAAGAAATCAACTCTCACTATTATAAAAAATACATTGAAGAGAACTGAAACTTGTGTTTCCGTTCTAAGCAAAACACAACTTTCTAAACTTCAACAATAAAAACAGTTTAACATTCGGCAATAGTGCTCAGCTGACTAACGTGGCCCAGTTGATACTGTTTATAAAATCATTGTTAAGGAACATAGATCTTATTTTTTGTTTCCTCAAATTATTCGGTTCAAATCGGAAGCAGCAGAGTCACCAATCACATTGTTGAGAGTAGTTCAAAGATTACTTAGTTTAAAGAATTAATCAGCAGGTATCACCAACACCGGAAATTAACGCAAAATATGTAACGTTAACATTATCTTCGAAGACAAATCATAAATCCATCAAATCACTACCATTCATTTATTTTTCAAAATGGAAAAGAAAACAATTTCAACAAACAAATGAAAATCAAAATCAATCAGTTAATGATGGATTTCAATACTCCATATCAACAATGAATATTTGATTTTGCACATTCAATCTTTTCCGACATGTGTTTTGAAAAGACTGCATTTAACTATTTTAACATATTTATCGTTCAAATATTTCACCCAATCATTGAAATTCGGAGATAACCACAGCTTCTCGATTTAGAACTTTTATTTTCCATGACGTAAACAAATCATACATTTATTAAGTGTTTTACTAGATTGACCATCATTAATTTAGTGTTACGTAAGAGTGATTCCACTCATCCATCCACACTTCGCATATTTTAAGGTTGTTGTTCTCTATTTTTCACATTTAAATGTTATCTATTTTCAGCTAAAGATATGCAACCAAGAATAACAACGATGTCGTAGAATAATCTGTTTCCTAGCTATATCACTGATTTACTAATATTGCAACTCATTTTTTTTCTTTTTCGTTTCTCCATTCAAATTAATTTCATCCGTTCAATCTTGCATTTATGCACTGGTATAAGAGCCAACGATAATGCATTATTTATTTAAATTGATTCTATCTTTACCGAACGCCATTTAATCTTCTCATATCATTAGTAACCAATGAAGTCAAACGTTCTATTAAATTTCATTAATCAATTATTCATTACAATAGATTACGCTATTCAGTTGGGAGTTTTAACAGCCATCTGTTCGACAAACGTATTATAACATTCCGATTGAACGAAAACAACGATGGATTGTTCAACTAACTTGATATCTGCCCACAAGTGACGTAGCGAGTGAGATATCATACCTGACTGAAGTAGCCTTTGGTAGCTTGCCACACACAATCAAATTATATTTTGAATAGTCATCAGCATCAAGGATTGATGAGTCGACATCTTTTTTAAATCCTGTGGCTGAAAGTAAATTGAATTTGTCTATTTATTGTACTTGGAAATTCGATTGAATCGCTTGAATAAATTGTTGTGAAAAGTTCAGGTCTACCATTTGTGTGTTCAATAGACATTGCAGGGAACATTTCCAAAATCCATTACCATTCATTCCAATGTTGCATTTAAAAACTGTCTTTGCATTTTCAATATCATTTTTTTTTAGGGAGCAATGAAATTATTTTCAACATAACTGGATATTAAACTTGTTGAATTGTGCATCAAACATGGTTGTATGAAACGTTGACAGAAGCTATTACTAGCTATAGGAACTGCTTAGATTGAATTGAACCAAATAAGTCGACCTTGTTTCAATGCATTCAATCTTTTTTCAGTCTTCGAATTTTTTCTATTATTGCAGAGGATGCGCGAAAGTAATGAAAATACAATAGGTAAATAATCAGACCTTAAAGTACCGGCCCTGTCAATTAGTTGGCTGGTACTCGAGTTGATGAAGGCAGCAAATGAAGATATCCAATATAATGTACCATATTTGTCAAGTGCAGCATAGACAACAATGAAGATGTGACGATTTTCCAGACAAAATGGTTTTACCACTACTCATATTTTGAACGGTTCAAAAGCGTTCCATATTGATTTCCCTCAGAATACCCGGTTTTCCCACAATTTTGCCTTTAACTACTGTTTGTAGAAGTAACGAACATCCAGGAGTTTCTTCAATTCAATTGATTTCAATTGCAATTGCGGATAACCAATCTGATATTTGCGGCCTTTTTAAAGCATCTTTGCAAAATGTTCAGTTGATTAATTTTGACTTTGACAGCAATAAATCAGCATCATCATCAACTAACAGAACCATTGCAAGTTGAGCAAGTCCTTCAATAAACCTAGCTTCCCCTGTTGACGATTCCGGTGGTTAAGGTTCATTTTCTTCAACTTATGGTGATGATTTTGATAGATTTAGGTTTCCATCTTTTTCACCAATAAATGCAATTATTCACGTTGCGGTATATGCTGGATGTTAAAACCATATTTCCTGAAAGGATTGGTATACCTCTTAGCTGAACTAATTTTCATTGCAGATCAGCCATCAGCTTCAGATAGTTGGAGAACAATTGAACTACTGATTAATGTTATTCAATTTTAGAATCTCTGACTAGTTCATTCTACACCTTTTCAACAATAGAAACGGTATGACAATCGATCTTTTTGTTTGATGTTGTAATACACATATTGATAATATTAGTGTGACGTGGTTCACAGATCTCACTATCACTTTCAGTGTCGATTCCGTTGCATGTTGAGCTCGAAAGTTGAGTTTGAATCCGAAAATGATATGTTGCTGTACAAATAGATGAATTGATATTTGAACGCCTATGAGCTATAGAATTTTCAACTGGACTTGAATTATTTAATTGAAGCAGATAACAGCAATTCAATGATCAAAAAGAAGTTGTTCGGAAAATGTGTTTGCAGTTCTTCTTTGCACATCTTGAAATTTGGTTTCAAGAATTGAAGCAATGAGATGTGCCATTGCTCAATCTCTAAAGACTTTTTTCTTTGTTATATTCATTGAAAAAAAACATTCAATAGCCGAATGGAGCAACGACGTTGACACTCATTGTGCTAGTCTGAGCATTTTGCATTGAGGTTCATAATTAGTATTTACTGAAATATAATTGTCCAAAAACCGCTAATCTGCATAAGCATCTTTCCAATTGTGCTTTGGATCGATGAAGTCTCCAAACGGCTATTTCATTGTCATTTCCAACTGATTTTGATTTTTCACATCTTGCATTTGAAGAAGTCAATGAGGAGCGGTAAAATGATGGATGTATTTTGTGTCCTTGATGCATCTTTAAACATATTTCTACTAAATTTAAAAGCTGGTTAAATAAACCCGGTTCATTAGTTTGCTAAGCAAAGTAACGATTGATATATTAATAACAGTTCAACTAATGGTTCAGTTGCATTTGATTTGAATCGAAGAGCAAATCCAACAATAAAAATAGACTTATTCCCATTGACATTTGATTCATCACCATCATCAAATTACTTAACAAAACCAGCCGAGAAATACCTTCCACTAATCAATGGTTATCAGTTGAAAAATTTTGGAAGTTGTGTTCGCCTTAGCACATAAGAACATGTCTCACAAACTTTTATTGCATTTTCAATATTTGGAAGTCTGTATTCATTTACGGGTATAGCATTCATTTGAATAAAAGGTAAATGACAGTGTTTGTTGTCAATCTAAAGCGAATAATATTCTGTGTTGAGAAAAAGACATTTTTTACATCCTGCCCACTTAACCTCTATAATTAACTGATTGACTGATATTCAGCAATAATCACACCATGCTTGTCAATTGATAGTTTGATTCCTTCTATATGAGCATGGCAACCACTGTGTGACAAAAATAAATTTAGTTACTTTCAGATGTTGCACTTTACAAACAATTCTCACTTTAATTCTAAATACCAAGTCTCCAACTCCTCCTATTTTTTCAATTTGCAATTTCCAATATTAGAATCAATGATAAGTTTATAGAAATATGAAGGACTATTTTTCATCCAATTGCTACTACTTTTAGTTAAAGTGAATCACGTTCTACATTTGAACATTATGAAACATCAGTTAAGTCACGCGATTATGATTCTTTCTAATGTCATCAATAAATTTGTTTCTTTGGGCAAATCCATTCTAATGAAGCTTTGCAT